CAGGGCCCTGCCCTGCCCGTGCGCCGTTTATGGGATGGAATATTTATAAATACAGCCCCACATTCCTTTATCCAAAGGCCCAAATCCAGCCCCAAAAGCACCCGGACATTCCAAACTCCACCCAAGGCCATGAGCAGCGGGAGAGCCGGGGAAGGGGACAGGGATCAAACCCAGGAGTTTCCCACGGGCAGCCCCTGCTGCCTCACTTTGTGTTAATTTGCATTTTTCCCGGTCTTTGTGAGTCATTAAAAGAGGATGGGGCAGCACGAGGCTTCCCTCAGCACAAATCCAGGCAGAAGTTTACAGGAATTCAGCCTGGAAAACAGGGAGGGCGTTTCTGCTGTGTGCAAACAACCCCAGAAATGCTGAGTAATTCCTGGAGCATGGGAAGCAATCATTACTTTTAATTACCAATTAAATGACTCGGTAATTTCTTGCATTCAAGCAGCAATGGAACGGCAAACAATGCCAGGCAAATCGGGTCTTTAGCATTTAATTACCGGGCTCTGCCATGAATTATTGAGCAAATGGGCAAAGACTCAGCTCCGAGGAACTCCGGTGCTGCAATTAAAGGGTTTTTAATCATCCCTGGGTCGGAGGCGCTGTTTGGAGCCGCCCTCCACGTGCACCCACACCCAGAGCAGCGACCGAGGCTCTGTGTGCATCACGGAGCTGAATTCCCAAAATAATCCGGGCTGGAAACGCACGAGAGCGGGATCGCCCATCCCAGCCTGTCCAGCTCTGCTCCTGTCACAGAATTCCGGACTGGGTTGGGTTGGGGGGACCTTGAATCCCACCCAGTGCCACCCCTGGGTGCTCCCAACCCCATAAAACCCAGACGGGGAAGGCAGCAGAGGCTGAGCAGAGAGAGCATCCCAAATCCACACCTGGGCTTGGAAAGGTCGGGGTCTGCCCCCGGAAAGGTCCAGGCAGGGGTTGGGGCCGGGACTGACCCCGCAGAGCTCTCCAGGCGGGATCCCTGGAGGGAAGGATCCCATCCTCTCCAGCCCGGCCCCGCCGGCTCCTGCCAAGCGTGGGGAGCAGCAGGAGCAGCCAGGGAGAGGCAGGGCTGGAGGGGCCAGCCCGGCCCGAGCTCTCCCTGCCCTGGAATATGCCAAGTGCTCCCCTGCCCAGCATCCCCACGTAAATCCAAGGAAAAATGGGCAAATGGATTTCCCAGGGCCAGCAGGGCTGGAGTGACCCCTCTGTCCTGGGAATTCTCTGGAATTATTCGGCCCCTCCACCCCAGCCAGTTCAGAGGCAAATGGGAGCAGGAGAGGGAGGTGAGGAGGGAAAGCAAAGCCTCGCTGGATTGGATCCATGTCCTTCCCAAAAGCACGACAAGTGTCCCAGCCTCTCTCCCTGGGGAGCGATTTGACCTGGAGAACGTCCCTGCATCCCTGATTCCTTCCATCCCTGATTTTTTCCATCCCTGCATCTGCAATTCCTTCCATCCCTCATTCCTCCCATCCCTGCATCCCTGATTCCTTCCATCCCTGATTTTTCCATCCCTGCATCCGCAATTCCTTCCATCCCTCATTCCTTCCATCCTTGCATCCCTGATTCCTTCCATCCCTGCATCCCTCATTCCTTCCATCCCTGCATCCCTGATTCCTTCCATCCCTGAATCCCTCATTCCCTCCATCCATAATTCCTTCCATCCCTGCATCCCTGTCATTCACTCCATCCATCCATCCATCCATCCATCCATCCATCCATCCATCCATCCATCCCTGCATCCCTGATTCCTTCCATCCCTGCATCCCTCATTCCCTCCATCCCTTCCATCGCTGCATCCCTCCATCCCCGATTCCTTCCTTCCTTCCATCCCTCCATCCTTCCATCCCTCCAGGCTTTGCAGGACCGAGCAGGAGCCCTGAGCAGCTGAGGGACCACCAGCAGCACCCCCGGAGCAGAGCTGCTGCTCCTCCTCCTCCTCCTCCTGCTGCTGCTGTCCTCCCCCGCAGTGCCAGAGCCGCTCCGTCACCGAGATGAGCTGATAAAAATGCAGATCGATGGCAGGGCCAGGGCTCAGCTCCCGGAAATCGATGCCGTTCCCATGCTGAGAACTCCCAGTGATTTTATCCACCCTCGGGAGGCTCGGGGCTGCAGGGAGCCGGGGGATCCCATCGCTGCTTCCCTCAGGAGGGTCCTGAGCAAACCTGGCCACGGCTCCCAGCTTCTGGAGCAAACCAGGCAGGGAAAGGAACTGGGAGCTGCTGGGGGATCAAAGGGGCTGCCCTGAACTTCCTGAGGCTCCCCAGCTGCAGACTCTGCTCCAGGGATGTGCTGAGGGATGGACACGATTTGGGAAACAAGGAATGGCCACAGATCCCAGCAGGTCCTGGATCTCAGCAGGGTTCAGATCCCAGCAGGGTCCAAATCCCAGCAGGGTCCAGATCCCAGCAGGTCCCTCCAGCCCATCCCCATCTCTCAGATCACCCCAAGGTTCCTCCGTGGCTCCCCCAGGCCCAGGAATGTCTGGGCTGGTTGGGGTGAGTGGCACACACGGGACAGGGCAGGAGGGAAGGAGCATCCCCAGCACCAGACCCCAAATCCTCTCATCCCCCTGCTGGAACCCTCCCTGCTCCCCCCGTGCCAGGCAGGGACAGACAGGGGGACAGGATTGTCCCTCTGCAGCTGGGACCCCCCGTCCTGCCCGGGATCCGAGTCCCCCCCTCCTGCTCTGGGCTGCAGCTCCAGAGCCCGGCCCTGTGCCAGGATCCAGCCTGGTCCCGCCTGTCCCCGCCCGTGCCAGGACACTCTGTGCCACGCCAGTGCCAAGCTCTCTCCATCACTGCCTGCTTGTCTCGCTGCCATGCCCCGGTGGAGAGAGGCATTCCTGGAAGCACCTTGGCAGCCGGGCCGGGCCGGGATCCTGCTCGGGGCCGGCGTCTGCCCCGAGCCTGGCAGGACAGCAGGTCCCCTGGGGACAAGGTTCCCTCCCTGCTGCTCTCAGGGAACGCTCCCGACGCCCCTGTCCTGCACAGCTCTGGAGAATCCATGTGTTCACTCCATGCCCTGGCCCTGGCAGCAGCTCCAGGTCCAGCCCCCTCATTTCTGGAGGAGATTTGGGCACATCCCGGGCGCTCCTGGCCTGGAAAGAAGAGGAGCCCATGGATGGAGCAGCTCCGTGGGGTCCAGCAGAGAGCAGCTGCTCCTTCCTGGGACACAGAGCATCCCCAGCTCTGCCCTTCCCTGCAGCCCATCCCCATCCCTGCTGGAACGTGGGGAATCCAGGGAGAAGGGAGTGCCGGGCTCCATCCAGGGGTTCCCCCATCCCACAGCCCCGGGGAAGCCTCAGCAGCTGCTGGGACTCGTGGCCCAGCCCCAGCAGCAGCTCAGGTCTGGATCCCAGTGGCTCACATCTGGATCCCAGTGGCTCACATCTGGATCCCAGTGGCTCACATCTGGATCCCAGTGGCTCACATCTGGATCCCAGCGTGGGATGCTCCGGGCAGGGATGAAGGAGTGGAAGGAGAGCATTACAAAACACCAGCCCTCGGAGCAGGGAGGGGAATTTGGCCGGCACCGCTCGCCCTCCCAGGCCTTAATCCCTTCGTTAGCACAGGCACACTTAGAGACCAACTCCCAGCCCTGCAATGCAGAGGGGCTGCGGGAGATCCCGGGAATTCAGGCACCGGAGTCTCCGGCCTGAGGAGCCCTGAGGGGCCCTTCCCACCCCGGGCAGCTCCGTGGGGCTGATCCAGGGATTTTCCAGGGATTTTCCAGCTGAATTCCATGAGCTGGCCCCGGCTCTCCCAGCCCAGAGGATCCCTCATCCCCCCGGGCTGGGCCGGCCAGCAGCCCCAGGGCAGTGGGGACAGCGAGGCTGGGATGGCAAAGCCACCTCTGCTCACACGGGGACAGCACCACGGGAGCTGTGGGATCGTGGAATGGGGTCAGGGACACCTCCCACTATCCCAGACTGCTCCAGGCCCCATCCAGCCCGGCCTCCAGGCCCATTCCAGGCTGGAAGAGCATCCAGCAGCTCCTGCCCTGCCTCTCTGGGAGCTCCCAGGAGTTTGCTCCTCTCCATGACCCCAAAGCTGCTGCTCCCCTGTGGGCTCAGGGCTCTCTGCTCCAAACCATTCCCAAGGACTGGGGAATCCCAGCAGAAGCCTAATGTGCTTCCAAGAAAGGCTTGGATTCCAAAAATCCTCCCTGAGGAGGCTCTGCCTGGATGGTTGGGATGTGGAGACCCAGTGGGCACCAAGGTCTGACAGGCCAGGAAGGGAAGGGCACACAAAGGGCTTGGGAGGGTGTTAAATTCCAGGGGCACACGAGGGTTTGGGAGGATGTTAAATTCCAGGAGCACACGAGGGCTTGGGAGGGTGTTAAATTCCAGGGGCACACGAGGGTTTGGGAGGATGTTAAATTCCAGGAGCACACGAGGGCTTGGGAGGGTGTTAAATTCCATGGGCACAGCTGTGCTGCCCGACCCTGGCAGCTTCCCTGGCTCCAGCTCTGCACCTCAGGCACGTCCCAGCTTCCCAGCAGCATCTGCCCTTCCCACACCACGAATCCCTCAGCAGGGTGGCTGTGGAAGGGTCTGGTGGGTCCCTCCCCCGGGGGGCTCCAGACAGAGCCAACGCCAGGCACGGCTGGAATGGGAATGGGAATGGGCGGGTTCTGTCCCACCAGCCAGGCACAACTGGGCTCAGCAATTCCAGACCCACTCCAGATCCCTCTTTTGGGTGCCCACAGCTCTTCCCTGCAGGTTCCAGCTCCTTCTCCCAGACACAGCCTCCTGCTCCCCTCTGAATCCCAGTTTCCATCCCTGGAGCGCTCCCATCCTGCAATTCCCTCCCCGGTCATTCCTTTAATCCCGGGTTTAGCGCCCCGCCCTGGGCTGCAGCCGCAGCCTGGTGGCCCTAAAGTTCCCTTCGGGAGCTCGGCTCCATCCTTGGACCTTGGGGGAACGCTCGGGGGCAGCGCGGCTCCGGCGCTTCCCTCCCGGGAGCAGCGGCTCCCAAAGCTCGGCTCGGGATTTACCGGCACTGGGCAGTTCCAGCGAGCTCCCGAGGGTGTCACCCGCTGCTGTCACCCGCTGCTGTCACCCGCTGCTGTCACCCGCTGCTGTCACCGTGTCAGCGCCGGGGGAGGCGCGGGGCTCACGAACCGCGGCTGCCGCTCCCGGCTCCGGCTTTTCCGGCAGCCGCCCACGGCCCTGCTGCTGCCCCAGCCCCCGGCCGGCCTGGCAGGGCTGGGCACGGCCCGCTCCGTCCCGCTGAGCCCCGGGAACGCTGCCCCGGCCCCGGGGAGAGGCGCGGGGGCAGCGGGAGCCGCCCGGCCGGGGCCACCGGCAACAGGTGATGGGGACAGCAGGCGCTGCTGGTGGCCCTGGAGCCGTGCCAGGTTATGGAATCAGGGAATTGTTTACCTTGGAAAGGTCTCCCGAGATGGTCGAGCCCGTTCCCAGCACTGCCCAGGCCAGCACTGAGCCCTGTCCCCAAGTGCCACATGCGCAGGGTCTGAAATGCCTGCGGGGATGGGGACGCCCCCAGTGCCACTGTGCCAGTGCCTGGGCACCTTTTCTGTGGAGAAATTCTCCCAATATCCAACCTCAGCCCTGCCGGCCCAGCCTGAGGCCCTGTGCTCGTGCCCAGCTGTATTTCCCGGGAGGATTTGCAGCCCGGGGACTCCACCCGTGCGGATTTCAGGGATGATCCCACCTCTGTCCCTTCCCCTCCTGCCACAGGAACCGTGGGGAGAGACCCCGGACACGCTCCCAGGGCTGCTCAGGGAAAACCAGAGCCTCACCCGAGGATGTGGGCACTGCCAGGAGCGGCGGGGGCTGCGCTGCCACAGCAACCGGGCACATCCTGCTCCCACCGCGTCCCTCGGCCGGGAAAGCCATCCCCGGCTCCTGTGCCACGCACAGCCCTGCCCGGCCACCGCGGAGCCACCGCGGGGCAGCACCGGCGTCCCCTCGGCTCTGGGACACCTCCCTGCCCGCTGACAGCAGCTGGGAGGAGGCAGCACCCCGGGAATGGCACGGAGGAGGGGATGGCAGCGGGACATGGGGGCCCCAAAACGCCGCCGATCCCACAGCTGGCACCGCTGGAGCTTCATCTCATGTGCAACACGAGGCTCTGCAGCAAAAACTGCCTCCGGCGAGCTCAGAGAGCCCGAATTCCCTCCGCCACTCCCCGGCGCTCCCGGAGAGCTCCCGCAGCTCTTCCCGAGGGGCCGGGAGTGAAACGGCCCCGGCTGCTCCAAGGGGCAGCTCCGCGCCTCTGCCCCTCGTGCCGGGGTTCTGCGGGACCCCCCGAGCCCCCGCACAGACCCCCAGCCCCAGCAGGGACCCAGCGGCTCCGTTTCATCCCAAAGTTTCCCGAAGCCGCCGGGTGGGGACCCCCAAATCCCCCCAGCGCTCGGGGGCTCCTGCAGCCGCGCCTTTGCTCCCCGACAGCAGAACCCCAAAGGCAGCGGCTTTGCAGCAGCTGCGGGAATTCCTTGTTTTCCACTTCTTCTTCTTCTTCCCAAAATGCCCATCCCAGATTTTATCCAACAGAGATATTCCGCCCAAAATTCCCCTTTTTTCCCCTCTCCCCCCCAACCCCAGGCGGTCGCAGACCCCCGGGCGCACCCCGACCCCGGGGACACCGAACCTCTCCGGGCCCCCCAGCCTCGCAGGGAGCCCACACGGGGCCGGGGACCGCCGGCACCGGGAACGGCACCGGGAACGGCCCCGGGAGCGGCCCCGGGAGCGGCCCCGGGAGCGGAGTCCCCCCGCATCCCGCACCGCCCCTGCGGAGCCGCGGCCGGGCGGTGCCCGGTGCAGCCCCGGGGCTCCGCCAGCAAACTTTCCCGGTTCCCCCCGGTTCCCCCCGGTTCCTCGGCGCTCACCTGCGCTCCGGGCGGCGGGCGGGGGCCGCGCCCGCCCCGGCGCTCCCCGAGCCCATCCGGACCGGCCCCGCCGCCGCTCCACGGCGCAGCCTTCCCGGCCGGGGAGCGGAGCGGAGCCGGCGCTTGCGGGGCCGGGGT